TATACATAAGGGAAGGTTGGCATTATAGTATAGAACTAGTATACTTATATAGCTACCCTAGTAAGATCATAAAAGATCAATAATATGTACCAATCACACTAATAAAACAATTGAATTTTTTTAGAGTAATAAAAACTTACATTAGGATTAGTTATAACCAAAGTTGGAGCTTTTTTTTATACCAAAATTTTGCAGAGTTTTTTTTGTTAATATGCAGAAGATGGTTTCATAGAAAGTCAATTGTTAGAAGAGATCTGATTAGTGCATCTACGATGATTTTTTATAGTCATGCTGAGGTAGCTTATATTTATATGTAATCAGATATTATTATTTTCTCAAAGCTCACCTTCCTGAATTATTATTTCTTCAGCTCCAATTTTAGCTTTATTTATTTCACTAACAATTACATTAATTTGTATTTTATTTCCAACATTCATTTTGTTGTGTCTAATGCCAACTTCAGGTGCCTGAAGTTATACTTGCCTAAAATTATCTAAAATTATTAACTAATGCAGAGGCTAAGTTTAGTCAAGTGCGATTTCAGGTAGGTTAGGTATCAACTTAGGCATGACAATTTCATTGTTCTGGTTATTGTAGTTAGGATCAAGTTTATATTAGAGTTAAAATTAGAAAATTTTTAAAAAACTTGCTGGTGAAATAAACTTGTTGGTGAATTGATTGCTAGTAAAATTGTGTGGATCCATTTATACCTTGTTAGTAAAGTAGATTGTCAGTATTTCAGAAAAGTAAATTTCATTTTACTATTTGGATTTTTAAAAATCACCTGTTTTAACCTTCTTTTTTACTATATATTCCTAATATTAAATAACAAAAATGGCACTATAACTTTATTTAATAAAAAAATTAACTCAAATTCATTTCAAATTTCATGTGGACTTTACGTGGCACACATCATGATGACGAATTTTGAAAATACTGCTTTTGGAAAGTTAAAAGTCAAAAAGGAGTTTTCTACCCAAAAGCATCTGTTCAATTTGCTTTATCTTATTTGGAAGTTACATAATGGTTATAGTGAAAGTAACAAAGATAATCTAATAAATATGAAGTCTTTCTACATTTTTGATCTATACTTTAAACTCTTTGGTATTTGATTAACAAAGTTTCAAAAACCTTTACAACAGTGATGGTTGTATGAATTACAAGCAACAAGACAACTAGTAAAAAGAAGAGAATATTTAGAAAAATTCTCTTTCTGGTTTTTTGAACAATTTAAAATCACAAAAAAAATTTTTAAAAAATATTTTGAACAGTAGAAACTTCTTCATCAATAGCTTGTGGATCTATATTTAAAAGTACAAGTCGAATGTCTTGCAAAGTTCGGCGAAATAATTTATGAACTAATAATAAATTTTCTTATTAGATTTGACAAGGTGCTATGAGTTCTTCAACCTGATGGTTAATTATTACCACTTTCACCTAGCCGACAGACCCATGAGATGTCTGATAAATTTATTAAGTGAATAAAAAATTTATATTGTATTAGAGACAATATTTGTTTATTTTTTAATACGAAGTTGTGGAATACCACTAATATTTTAGATGATGAAAATTTTGAAACATTTTTTAATAATTTGAAATTTGGCATTGATAAGACTATAAATTCTTTGGACAATTGAATGAATATGTGGCTTTATTTTCCATTAAGCATGTGCCAATTAGATGGTAAAGATGGTTGTGAATTCGCTAAAAGCTATCTAAATATAAGATTTAAAAAACAGCGAAACAAAGTTTCTAGTCTTAAAGAATTATATCATGCGACTCTTTTGGAATTAGATATTAAACAATCTAATTCTAATAATTTTGGTTTATTAGAGGCAACAAAAAATCTGTTATTTATTCAAGAGTTACTTAATTTTGCTGATTCTACTAATTCGATTCACTCTTTCTTTTTACTATATGAATTCATCAAGTGCCAAATTTATTATATCGTTATTCATCAGTAGCAGGTCGAGGGTTTATTTAACAAGTATAATCTTAAGTGTCATACAAATATGAATATTGAAATAAAAAAGCCAAATTATATCTTTTAGATGTTAAACAATTATCTATATTTAATGAAGATTTGGCAGCTCAAAGAAAAAAAATAAAAGAAAAAAAATTGACGAACAAAATAATGAAAAAATGAAAAACAGGTAACGTTTGTAGAAATTGAGGCTGATAAACTGTTTAATAATTTATTTAATAAATAAAGAAATAGGTTGTTAGATAAATAAAGAAAATAATATACAAAAAGTGAAATTTTCAAAATTTCTGAAATTGTTTAAAAAATCTATAAAAAATCTTTACATAGTAAATTTTATATGTACGGCTACTTATGGTTTGATTTTATTAGTTTGATGATCACCCTAATATGACACATATTCATTATTATTATTATTATTATATTATTATTTTATTATTATTATTATTATTATTATTTTATTATATTTTTCAATAACAATCATCTTTCAATGTTATGCCACACACAACATACTGCGAATTCCAGCTTTTGCTATGCAACCAATCTTGACTATGACACTAAGTGTGTTAAATTGTAAAAGCAAAAAAAAATTTATTCTAGTGAGACAAAACCATCTCTCTCATTTAAAAATAGTTTATTCTGAAGACTAATCATTCTTAATTTGTATTTTATTTCCAACATATAGAGCTGAGATCCTTTGAATGTCTATTATGACTACTCAATAAATATTCACGAATTTTAGTTATCTATGAATAGCATTCTGGATCTTATATGAATATTCTTGAATTCTATAAGAAAATCTATGGATATTTATTGAATATTCTGTTTATATTAATTTTTTTTTTTTTTGTGTTAAGGAGACCTCTTTGGCCTAAAAGCTTTTATTAGGATTTGAAATGGTGTTTTATACGCAATTACAATGATGGTACATCAAGCCACACGTGCACCTTTTAAGTGCCTAATTTAAGTAGTCCGCTCGAAGGTTCTACACTATCTGCCATATCTGCACCCCAACTAGGAGAGTGCCCATTTAAACCATTTGGTTATAACTACCACCGGTTAACCACCTAACCCCAGGTTTACTCACCATTTATATATGGATTTTGTATCACCTTGG